CAGGTTTTATTCTTTAACACGAACTTTGGGACCAGAGGTAGAAATAGGCATAATAGGCATCACAAAGAAGAGCAGCTCAATGTGTTTCAGCAATGTTTAATTCAAACTAACAATGAAAACAGCAAAGTCAGATAACTCAAAGAAAAACATTTTGAATATTCTAGAGACTGCTTGGAGGCCTCTTCCAAAATGCATCTCAGGATGATTATTTTCATTCAAAAGCCTCTACTTATGGTTTCCATTTTGGTGATGAAACCTCCAGGTCTATTCTTTCTCAACATGCCAGGGTCACTGGTGAGGCAGGCCAATCTGCTTTCCCCCTCTTTCCCCCTGTTCTTTATACATTTTCAGTAAGTGATTCTGAAGTCAGCTGTTTACACCTTGTCTGTGGTACGTAAGCTACTTTAGGGTGACCTAGAACAGAATCCCATTCTTTCCAGGTCAAGATTTATTGCATTGTTTATTGCTGACACGGCAAGTCTGTTCTTTTCTAGCCCTCATTCACCATCGTTCCAGTGCCAGTGTTGCAAAACAAAACGTTTCTTGTCTAGACAGAAGACAAGAAACTGGTGGAGGGGGTATGTGAGCTTTTCTAAAAATACTTTGGAAAAGGAGTTTCTTTGACAGAGATTTTGTTAATTGAGGCATGTCTGTATTATCTGTTGGTTAGCTTTTTACGTTTTCTGTAAATCTGTACTTCCAGATTTGCATTGAACATTTTTAGTTGTCAGTATGTGAATAAGGTGATTTTTTTTTAGCATAGTTCAAAATATGTACTTCCTTTTCTCTCGGTGATGCAGTTCTGTTGTGCCAGAAATGTCAGACTGAAAGTGAGGCATGCTTCTGACTAGTCTTGTGGCATGGAGAAATACACAACATCAGCAGGAAGTTAAGATACACTCTCAAAGCAGCATTCTAATCAAAAAGAAACAAAGAAAATGAAAGTTCAACAGAAAACTTGAGTGAGTTACAGCCCGTTATTGAGTTTAATTCTCTTTATGATGTTGAATTTAATTTAAAGCTATAATGGAATTGCAGATAGAATCTATTCCACAGAGTAGAAAAGGTAAAAACCACTCCAAGGGGAAATTAATTCAAGGAAGCTAGAAAAAGACCTTGTTTTAACAAGAAGCATTTTTCTCTGAACAATGAGAACAAAAAGAAGCACTAATTCTGGTTAAAACAAGTAATCAGTAATACATGCAGATGTTGTTTTAGCAGGATTTCCCCATAAGCCCTTTTTAGGTTAATATATGATATACATGTTGTCAAAGGCTTTCATGGCCAGAATCACTGGGTTGCTGTGAGTCTTCCGGGCTGTTTGGCCATGTTCCAGAAGCATTCTCTCCTGATGTTTCGCCCACTTCTATGGCAGGCATCCTCAGTAGTTGAGAGAATGCTTCTGGAGCATGGCCATGCAGCCCAGAAAACTCACAGCAACCTATATGATATATATTTTTGAACTTGTAGTTTAAACAGTCCAGAAGCCATTGACTGCCAGTCTGCATCACATTTCTAGGAAAGAAAGAAATTATTTATTTTATTTATTTAAAACATTTATATTCCGCCCTTCTCACCCCGAAGGGGACTCAACATATACACGGCACACATTCAATGCTGGGACACAAATTCACATACAATACATAAACATTAAAAAACATTTATCGAAATATTAAAATGCACCATTTAAAACTGTCCTAGTCATCCGCATCAAATCTAATTGCCCTGGTCATCTTTCTTATTGCCGCTTTATTGCCCTGTCCCGAAAGCTTGGTCCCACAGCCAAGTTTTTATCATCCTTCTAAAGGACAGGAGGGACGGGGCCGATCTGATCTCACCAGGAAGGGAGTTCCATAGCCAGGGAGCAATCACTGAGAAGGCCCTGTCTCTTGTCCCCACCAATCGTGCTGGTGACAATGGCGGGATGGAAAGCAGGGCCTCCCCGGAGGATCTTAATTTCCGTGATGGTTCATAGGGGGAGATGCGTTTGGACAGGTTGTTGAATGACTTCCTTGATGTGCTTTCACTTAGAAGGAAGTCAGACAGATAGATTAAATGTGCTTTCTTTAAAAAGTATTTTTATTCAAGAAAAAAACAAAAGAATACACACAAACAAGTTTTTAGATGTATAGAACTATTAAAACTACACGACTGCATACTATTAGAACTAATGGAAATTGATTACACATACAAAACAAACAAAAAGAAAACACATAGAAAACACATGCTTTTTGAGGGTAACAGTGTAACCTGAAGGCCTTAGTTAAAGAAAATACAAATATGAAATGTGGACAAACAAAATCTGTAGTTGTTACTAAAATAAATGTATTTACCAGAGGTTTGCAAGGCATTCATTAGAATGTTACTTAGTGGCTGCTCCCAGGCTTCGGGACTTCTTTCCAAGACAGGTTAGATTGCCACCTTCTCTGTTATCCTTCTGCAGGCAGGTTGTTTAAAAATAAAATCAGGAGGACTAAGGGCTGGCTACTCAAGGGGATAAAGTCTTGCAGAATTATACTATGCTTTGTCATTTTTAAGAATTAAAATTTTTAAAATTCATTTTAACGTTATGGGCAGTCTTATTTTAAACTTTTAGTGATGTCTCTTGATTGTTCTAAGCTGTCTTGAGTTCCAAACCAGGAAAAAAGTGTCGCAACTTAGGATAGATTCACTTTGCTCAAGACACCATCACACACCAAGGCTGTAGGTTTTGTAGTTTATTGAGAAAAAGCAAAATCAAAACAGGGAAATAAAGAGGTAAAGTTCAATGAGCAAAACAGAGTCTTAAATGCAAAAGCAAGGTATCCAGGTTTCAAAGGCGAATAACATGAAGCATAGCCTTTAAGCATTGGTTACACAAGCGTTCATGGCAGCAAGACAAGGTCTCCAAAAAGTCAGGATTAAAATCAAACTCCCAAAGAGACAGAAGCTTTCCGTAAAAGCCAAGGTAAATCCACAGAGGTTACCAGGGGAAGAAGCAACATTGGACTGACAGCAAATGCCCTTCGGCCAAATCATTAAATAAGTTTCCCCAACATAAAAGCATTACGTTGACCTCTAGCTTCACGCTTGTTGGCAAGGTATGCGCTTCTTCGAACTCTTAATTGCAACTGGTCTTCTCTAATAAAATCTTCACTACTATCTTCAAGGCTGCCTAGCTCATTATCTTCGCCCAGCTGGGCCTGGTCGCCCTGGGAACCAGGAGGCCCAGCGCTCTCAGAAGGAGCCTCCACCTGGAGCTCCGAAGTTTCACTATCTTTATCTGAAAACACATTCCTTTCTCTAGGGAACAGAAATGCTGTCTCTTCCTCAGAATCGACACTGTCTGCCTTATTTGACTCACTGTTCAAAAATCTGTAACCCATCATCCTCCTCATCCTGAGCAGGTTCACAAAGCTCAGGCTCAGACTGAGCCACAACAAAAAGTGATATATAAATAAATATAAATAAGAAATCCCACACATATCTGCTGCAAAAAGGTTGCAGTTCATTTTCTGAAAGTGGAAGGCAGAAAAATAGAGGGATGAAGTAGGGAATTATGTGATGTGAATGTTCATAGGAAAAATGCCAAAGAGTTGTTTCAGTCCTTTTAAAAAGTTTTTGGCTGTGGTCTCCTTAATGTTAAATGAACTGGAAAAAATGAAATTCATATATATTCATATATTTGATCAGATTTACTTATTGTATCTGTCCTGCCTCTAAGGAAGTCAGTCATGCAGGGATTTCCCATTTTATCCACACATACAATAACTTTACATTTTCTTTCAGGGGTCCTTCTTAAAACTAGAAAACTGTAGAAAAGTAGAAAGAAAACATCTGTTAGGTGCTAAGTTGCTTGTGAATAACAAGACTCACTTGTGGAGGGTTCTTTCATCTATGGAGGATTTAAAACTACATGGTGACACTGCTATTTTAAACTTGGGCTTCTCCTTTGGGTACTGATAAAATTGCTTCACGATCACCAGTATTATATGAGAAGGTCAAGTTTAAAGTTACCAGAGCGCAGTAAGAAAACAAGGCTGGCTTTCAGTGTACTTCACAGAAAGAAGTTTATTATCCTGGGTAACAATTGACTAGCTAGTAACTGATTTCTGTGTTGGTCATATTCATATGGTTTGCCTTTCTCATGCTTGTATATTTGCACAGAGGTTTTAAATCGGAAGCTGTATTAATACCAAATAAGGGAGTTGTACTGAGGAATTTCTTGCTTTGGCTGGTTTGAACAAAACCAGTGGTTCTCAAAATGTGGTTCTTTTTTCTTTTTGACTTCAGGTTCCCAAATCCTTGACTTTTGGCCAAGGTGACTGAGGTCCCTTCTACACTGCTATATAATCCAGATTATCAAAGCAGATAATCCATATTATCTGCTTTGAACTAGATTGTATGTGTCTACACTGCCATATAAACCAGTTCAAATTTGATAATCTGGATTTTATATGGCAGTGTAGAAGGGAACTAAACACCTGGAAAACCTAAATTAGAGAACCACTGGGCTAGAGTGCCTGTGAGATTGTCCTGTTTTATTCTGTTTCATTAGTTGGTGTGAGCCATCTTGAGCAGTGGCATATATATTTTGGAAATAATAATTTTAAAAACATAAGGCTATGATGTAACTCAGTGGACTGGACCTAGGCTCAGACAAAAATCCGATGCTTCTGTATGTAGGAGTATATCTCATTACATTTAATAGAGCTTACTTCTAAGTAGACACATATCAAGATTACAAGTAAGACATTGATTCCCCTGAATTTCATTGAACTAATATTCAATATAATACTTTTGCCTCAAAGGGAATTGTACTAACTTGTGATGTATACATCTACCTTCCCCCTATATTATTCCATTTCAAGATAGAAATATTTAAAGTATATAAGTAAGGTAAATAAATAAATAAATAATAAAAATAATGAAAACTTGGCCACAGACTAGGGATCCAAATGGATTGGTTCTTTACTGATAGAAAAAAGTAGTTTACATTCTTTAACTTTTTCTTTTGGCAGGGTGGAAATAATGCAGGCCACACTGTCGTTGTTGATGGGAAAGAATATGATTTTCACCTTTTTCCTAGTGGTATAATTAATCCGAAGGCCATTTCATTTATTGGTAAGTAGTACTGTCCAGTTTGTAGACTTTAGGCCCTAGTTTGAAAATAAATAGTGATGATGTGTGTTACTCTATGCAGTTTGACAACTGAGATTGCATTCAGATTGGTTTTGTTTGTGTTTGTGTTTGTGTTTTATTTTATTTTGATTCTTAATTCCTTGTAAATTTTCAGTTGTTACTCTTCATTATTTTGTATTATTTGATGTGTTTCCACCTATTTTGAGACATTGAATGTTTGCCTTTTTATGTGTAAACTGCCCAGAGTCCCTCCGGAGAGAGAGGGCAGTCTAGAAATATATTATTGTTATTATTATTATTATTATTATTATTATTATTATTATTATTATTACTACTACTACTACTACTACTATTAAACAGCAAGATGAGATTAAACTCTCAGCTCTTTTTCATTCCCGCTATCCCTGCCCACTGTTTTGTGGAAGCAAATGTGATTTCTCTAATGGCCATATGTTGTTTTCCAAAGAAATTTCAGTTAGAAGTGAATTCAGGTGAGCCTTTTCTTGCTCATAGATTCAAAAAGATAGGAATCATTCCACTTTCTTACTTTCCTTGCTGTATCTTCAGTATGATTTGCAGTTGCTCCTGTAATTTAATTAGCAGCTTTATATAACCTTAAAACTGAATTTGTTAAAAGCTGGGCCGTTCCTTGCTTGTTTCAGCACAAGTAGCTCTATCTGTAATTGGCAGTCACAGATATCTTGGTCCAGCATGTTAACTGGATACAACTAATGGAAGCTGCAATCCAACAGCATCTGCAATTCCCCACTTTGCTGTCTGTAACCACATTGCTTTCTTGCAATATGAGATTTTGATATATACAAGTGAGATGGAATTATTTGTTTCAAAAATCAGGCATTTGTTTGATCCCTGTACTCATTTTCAGACATTAAGCATGATGCCAAATATATTGTACTGTGATCTGTGGAATGTATTATTTCATTTGAAGTTGGATGAATGACTCATTTGAAATGACACTATCAGTGTTTTTTAAAGAGTTTTGCACTAGATTCATATGTGATGGGGACTCTGTTTTCCTTGGCTTAGTGATTACGTTGGTTAATATTAACATGCAAAGAAGTCTTAAGGTGAGCTTAAGGACAGGTATAGTGGTCATTAGTGTTGCAGGGCATTGACTCCCTCTGTCCCATCCCCTTAGTAAAGACCAGTGAAATATTCCTCATGTAGGGTTACTCTTTGCAGTTTTCATTTCATTGTTATCTTGTCTTCTAGCCTTGCTGGCAAAGTGGTTTGTGGAAAGAAAGCAAATATTTGTAGGAATGTAGGGTATTGTGAGAGATGTTTTGGGAATGGTTGTCTCTTAGAGGACCACTCCATAACAACCTTGAATCCACCTCAAATTCCACCTTGGGAGAAAGGTGGGACATACATTTATTAATTCAATCAGACAACCAGTCACCTTATTATGAGATCTCAGTTTGGAGGAAATGGAAAACATTTTTGACCCAATTGTATTTTCAAATGTTTGGTGTATGGCTATTAAAGATGACTATTTGATTTCCTGTTTTGTTTTTGTTTTTTTTAAAAAAACTTTATTAAGGAATGGGAACTGTCTTTGAACTTTGTGGAAAGAAGGGAAAGCAATCATACCAATGATTTGTATTTGATCTTGATTAAAATGGTAATTTCCGCAATATGATTGTTAAAAAGAATAAAAGGTTTTGGAAAATAAAACTAAAATAAAAAACAAACAAACATCATGTGTGTATCTTCTAGGAAATGGGGTAGTTATACATCTTCCAGGCTTATTTGAAGAAGCTGAAAAAAATGAGAAAAAAGGTAAGAATCTTATACATGGATAATGTTTTCTTTATTATGCGGCTTTTACTCTTTCTGTGGAGGTTTTAATAAATTCTGTAGCAAAAAAAAAAAACTGGCCCACTGATAATGGTGGTTCTTAATGTTGTGGAAGACTATCTGCAAATTGTATAGTCGTGCCACAAAGTCTGGCTTTTTGAATGTAGGTTAAAGTAAAGGTTTCCCCTGACATTAAGTCTAGTCATGTCCGACTCTGGGGGTTGTTACTCATCTCCATTTCTAAGCTAAAGAGCCGGCGTTGTCTGTAGACTCCTCCAAGGTCATGTGGCTGGCATGACTGCATGGAATGTCGTTCCCTTCCTGCCACAGTGGTACCTATTGATCTATTCACATTTGCATGTTTTCGAACTGCTAGGTTGTCAGAAGTTGGGCCTAACAGTGGGAGCTCACCCTTCTCCCCGTATTCAAACCGCCAACCTTCCGGTCAGCAAGTTCAGCAGCTCAGTGGTTTAACCCACTGCACTACTTGAAATATTTCAAGCAAATAGAAGGGGGAAAACATACGCTATAGCTCCAATTCTGAAGCAGGCTTTTGGGGGAAATAGTCTTTGGCTGCTTTGGTACACTTTGTGGGGGAAATCTGTGGGAAAAGGACTGCTAGCTAATTTTGTGAACTTTGCCCTCTTTACAAAGCGACCTAAAGGCTACACCCCACAGCTGATTTATCTGCTTCTGCTCACGATTAGAGGCTAAGAAAGCTGCATGAACACTGCTCTGGGTCTTTTGGGGGCAGGCACTTTGTAATTGGCATTGCCTTTCTTCTGACAGGTTTAAGAGATTGGGAGAAAAGACTCATTATATCTGACAGAGCACACATTGGTAAGTATTGACTGGGACAAGAAAGCCTTTATACAAACAAAAAATTGATCCAGTTAATTTTCTGTGAATTTTATTTGCCATCCAGATCGATTATTTGAACTAAGTAGAGTTATACTTATGAATGCTCATAGTTAAGTAATCCATAATTTATTCATTCAACATGATACATCAGAATTAGTTTTCCTACATCATTTGTAATTCTTTTACTTTAACAAATGATGTTACTAATAATTGCCTATGCTTATTTAACTTAGTTCCTTTGTTGCGGCAAAATCGTAATGGTGCATGTGATACCTGAAAAGCATTTTTCCTGTCCTTTGACTCTTTTCCCTGTGGCTTTTCTTCTGCCATACAGTGTTTGATTTTCACCAGGCAGTTGATGGACTTCAAGAAGTGCAGCGGCAAGCACAAGAGGGGAAAAAGTAATTATATATCTTGGTATACATGAATTTTGCTACTAGATGTGGCATAAGTCAGAAAAATAAATGCCAAACATACGTATTAATGTTCATCATGTAAAAACTGTACAACCTTTTAGAGGCACTTCCTTCGCATGGACAGTTCTAAATTTACAGGGAGCACAGATGACATAGTAACATGTTGGTCTTAAATGAGGCATGCTTCGATCTTGGTTTGGGTATAAGTTATTCTTTATTGTTAACCAGTGGAAAGGACTCCTGCTGATTTTTAAATATTATACTAATTTTCTGCCATTTCTAGGTCAGGAATAGAGGCACAGTGGGTTTCAGATTTTTCTCCCTCAAACCCTGCATGTTTCCTTTAGTGCTGATGGTACTACTGTTTCACCTGACAATATACTTTCATTTCCTATATAGACCCCATAAAGCTCTGTCCCCCAGGGTCCATCCCAATTTATTTTTATTGAGACTTATCCAGTAGAGATTTGATTTCTCTTCGCCTTTTCATTCTCTCTCTTCTGTGCCACATTATTCAGGAATTTACTCTTTATGTAGTTAGTCCTCAGTCTCTGCTGGTAGACTCTTTGAAGTACCAAATTGTTTTCACGCATAGAACTGGGATGGGCAACTTCATTCTCTGGTTCTGTAATGCACAGAGAGCTGTACCTTAATGCGGTCATAGTTTCTGCCTAAATCTTAATGGTTTCCTTGCAAACCCAATGTGTCCCTGACTCTGCTGGGATTCAAAGTTTTTCTGAAAGAAATACAGAAATTCAGATGGTGACAGAAACCTGGTGGTGGTGGGAAATACACACAAGCTGCATGTTGCCTACTTTTGAGCTTTTTTTGTGTCAGGAGTGACTTGAGAAACTACAAGTTGCTTCTGTTGTGAGAGAATGTGCTGTCTGCAAGGATGTTGTCCAGGGGATGCCTGGATGATTTACCATCCTGTGGGAGGCTTCTCTCATGCCCCTGCATGAGAAGCTGGAGCTGACATACGGGAACTCACCCCGCTCCCCGGATTCAAACTGCTTACTTTTGAGCTAGAGAACTAGTTACTGTCCTTCAGTAGTCATTTATTCCGTTGTAACTAAAATGTAACAAATTATTTATATGATTGCGAAGAAGAAATTGGGCATTAAGGAGTTGCTGGATATTGAATAGGAATAGGCTAAGATAAGAGTGGTGTAGTGGTTTGAGTGTTAGACTTTAATGCAGGAAAACAGGGTTCAAATACTATAGAAACCTTTTCTATATTTTTACCCAGAAGGTTTCTATAGTATTTGAACCCTGATTTCCAGCATTTGGGCAAGTTGCAATCAGCCTCTGAAGAAGGCAAAGACAACCCCTCCCTCTGATCAAATCTTGCCGTGAACTCCCAGTAATAGAGTCACCTTATGATAATTCTAAGATGGAAATAACATGAAGGTACACAACAAGAAGGAGCACATCACTTTCTGGCTGCATTTGCTATGTTCTATTGAAACAGTAATCTTGTTATAGATTGTTGGATGGCACTGGGAGAGTTGAAAGTCCTGCTCCTATAGGTTCTGTTGTTATGTATGACAAATAACCTCAGGAGGAGTTGTAGGTGATGTTGGTGAATTGGTTCACTAATACGTTCATCCAGAGTTGAGGGAAATTCTAACATTTTCAACACACTTCCAATGCAGAAGCCCTGAAACAAATGGATTACATCTCTTGAGGCAGACTTAGTGGTGTGAGCTACAATAGAAGAGATTCAAGAGGTTTTTTTAAAAATAGATTTGGAATTAATTAAAAAAAAGTATGCTTGGCCTGCCTATTTGTTCAAATGGTGCAGTTCCTGCTTGTAATCTGCATTATTGCTGCAACTTTGGTTAGTTGATGTGGACCTGGAGAAACCAGATCAGATAGGGTCTTCATAAACATTTTTGCATAGCTTATGACTGCTTGTGCTCAACCAGAATTAATGTGAAGCCAGTCTGCCCTTCTGCATCCAGGAATAACATTGCATTGGCAGTTGCTAAGAAGAATCCCTACACACAATGCATTTCATCCATTCTACTCCACTGCTAGGCACATGTATTATTCTGCATGTTTTGTTGTAGTATGTCTGCAGATTGTTGTGCCTCTTTCTGTTTATGCATGAAGATATGCATAAGCTAAGAAAAAGCAAGCTGTAAGAAGAAGGGATTTCTCCAGTGTAGGATCAAACCTGTCTTCCATTGCTGGTGATTGGGAAGGGCTCCTGGTGTCTTAAAAGACTGTGGATGCACTGACATGCATGTTTCTTTTCCTCCTGGCTCATGCCAGCCAAGCCTCTATTTTGCCTGTTACATTAGATAGGTCAGTGAGCTGGAAAGTGATATCCTGTTGACCTATTTAGAACAGTCCTGAAAATCTGGCATTGAGGTACTGAAAACAAGCAAATGTGCAGCAGCCTCAGACATAAACCTACATAGAGTGGTGTGCAAAGTGTACTGTAAAGATAGTTAGTGGTGTATTTGCTGAAATAAATAAGTTGTGCCTGCAGAATAGAGCTTTCTGTAACTGAATATGTATGACTAATTCCTAGTGCAGAGCTTTCCAAACTGTGTCACGATACTTTAGTATGTTGGCTGCAACGTGCAGATATGTTGCAGGAACGTAACCAGGAAACCCTGAGTCTATGTGAAATAAACAATAAATAATGAAATTTATATATATTTGAAAATATATATAAATGAAAGGTTTTCATGAGATCTGTTGTGTCCCACTGAATTTCATTATTGCAATTTATTTATGTATCCATATTTCTTACAAGGGGTTGATTTAACCTCTGGTTTGCCAGTAAAACTGAATTACTGTGTCACAAAATGATACATGTCTAAAAAGTTTGCCACCATTAGGAAATGTTTGGGAAGCTCTACCCTAGTGCATCTGAGGTCTAGAGAAAGATGTTGCAAAGGGAAGACTGAAATCTGTCATCTGGCCTTCCTTAGAGCCCCACAGATCTGGTTAGGAAGTAGTTTAGGCAATAGAAATGTGGGAGTGGTTAGGAATCCTCATATTTCATACTTTATATTTTATTCCTATGCTTCTTGTTGGCTGTTCTGCAAGATAGAATGGTGCCAAATATAAAAAAACGGCAAGGTTGAAGATGATGCTTCAACATATTGTTTATCTATGTGAAGTGGTCTATACATTGCTTGAAAAAGCAGATAATACATAGGATAATTTGTTGGGAACCCTACTGCCAGTGTTTAATGACTCTTACCTGTTTTATACATGATAGATCTTGAAATAATGAGTTGGACTCTAATCTAAGCCAGGAATGTACCCCACTGGAACTACCACTTTGATTGGATTTCATCTTCTCCCAAAAGAAATGGGAATCAGATATGCAAGGGAGTGTCCCCTTTTTCTTGTATAGAAAATATTGTTGAGCGAGTGCGTTTATTAACAAAAGACCCTCCCCATGAATGTATAGCAGAGTAACGTATTAGCAGCAGCGTGACCCAGCACCAGTAGCCCAAAGTGATAAAAAGAACAAAAAAACACAGACCAATGTTATCTCTTCCATGGGAGGCTTTTGTTTGTAGTAAAATAACATGGTTGCACTATTTACAAGAACAAGGTTTCTATAACACAAATGAAGTTCTTTATACTTCCTTCCTTGCTTCCACACTGTGCTTCTTCCTTGTGCAGATAAACAGCTTTGCTCTCACAGAGCCTCCTCTCACACAGAACTTACAGTGGAGCTTCACGCAGTAGCTTTTTACACACAGCTTTACACACAAGGCATTAAACCTGGAGCTTCTCTCACCAAAGCTTCTCACACCAGGCCTTCTCGCACTCTGAGGCTTTCTCACAGACTAAGGCCTACCTCCACACAAAGGCTTTTCTCACAGACTAAGGCCTACCTCACTCTCAGGCCTTCTCTCACAAATTAAGGCTTGCCTCACACTGTGAGGCCTTCTCATAGACCTTTCTCTCACTGAGGCAAACTAACACAGAGGTCTACTAAGCTACAGACACACTTGCTTATATAGAACTACAGCTTTTGCTGAGCTATTAATTTAACCCTTTCAGTGTTTGACTCGCATTTTTGTAATTAAAAATACCTAGTTAATTTTTAATATTTCTGACAAATATGGTGTTTTACTTCTGCATCTTGGAGTACCAACACAAATTCCTTCCTTTGTAGAATAGTTGAAGATGCAGAAGTCCCACTCTCCTTTGCACCTAGCATTAAAAAGTCACAAAGTAGTCACACACCATTTAAAATACAAGGTGCCATGGGTCTCATAGCTCTGAAGAGGTTGAAGACTCATTGCTTTCCTTCCAGTATCTGAAATGATTCCAGCACTGAAATAAGTCAGGGTAAAATCCTATGTTTTAGGATTTTAATTATAAATTGAAAAATATCATTCCAAATTGTTCTTATCACAAAACAAAAATGTATCATGAGGTATTTTAGTGCAGTGTATGATGCTATTCATTTTTCTTCTTTCCCTAGCATTGGCACAACAAAGAAAGGTATCGGACCAACCTATTCTTCCAAAGCTGCACGAACAGGTCTTCGAGTTTGTGATCTTCTTGCAGACTTTGATGAATTTTCTTCCAGGTATCCTGCTGAAATACATAAACTAGAATTGATAGTTCTGGGGTGGAAATTTCTGCTTTGCGGTTTTTTCATAAAACTTTCTTGCAAACTGTTTAAACCTAGGGAGGAAGATGTAGAATCTACTCAAGATATAAGTGTGTGTCATTCTAGGTTAAAGATGGGGTATAAATCCATTAAATACATAAGAGTGTTATTTCATATGAATTGAGTTTTGGGAATTGCATAGAACAGATCTGCTAGTTTTTTTTTTCATGCCAGGAGCAACTTGAGAAACTGCAAGTCGCATCTGGTGTGAGAGAATTGGCAGTCTGCAAGGATGTTGCCCAGGGGACGGCCGGATGTTTTACCATCCTGTGGGAGGCTTCTCTCATGTCCCCACATGAGAAGCTGGAGCTGACAGACAGGAGCTCACCCTGGTCCCCAGATTTGAACCACCAACCTTTTGGTCAGCAGTCTTGCTGGCACAAGGATTTAACTCATTGCGCCACTCGGGTCTCCTTATCTTCTGCTAGTGTTAGACCATCCTCCTCAGCTGTATGACCTTTGTTAGAGAATAATTTGCCTTATGGCATTCTGTGTCTTGTAGTCAGGAGCTGTTAAACAGGAAAAATCACTTGTGAAATAGTCTGCATGTGCTTTTCTAAGTTATTGATATTTTACAGATTTAAGAATCTGGCTCATCAGTACAAGTCAATGTTTCCTTCTTTAGAAATTGATATAGAAGGACAGCTGAAAAAACTGAAGGTAAACCTTTAATTCTTTTTTTTAAGGCTTGAGTTGGGATAGGATGGAATTACTGTTTGGAGGAGATAAATATAATAAAATGTAGAACTGTTTTTCATTTTCTAAAAATAATGAAGATAGAATTGGTGTATTTGAAACTAAAATACAAAGGTCAATGGAATGGCAAGCTCAGCATAGTGCTTTGAATTTATATGCTACTTTTATAGTAAGAAAGGTATTCATGGCAGTACATTAGGAGAAACGTTCCATTATTAAAATGCCCTTTACAGTTTGTGCATTAGATACCGATACTTCATTAGGGAACAAAATTATGCAGGAAAAGCATGGGATATCTATAGGAGTTAAGCCAAAACATTTCAGAGAAATTGGATGAGTTCACATTTTCATGCCCATAACCGAATTGCAGTATTCAGTGATGGCATGCATTTGTAATGCAGATTAACACCATGGAAGAATTTTCATCCAGCTGTGAACCATTGAATGAGCTATCTTCATGTCTGAACCAGTCTTTACATAGACGGTGTTTAGAACAGAGTGCTCTGTTATGACAGCATCCTTCAGCAAGTGGAAGAGCAGGAGCCATAAATGTGCTAATCTGTTTGCTTATTTGCTAGACATTAAGGTTTGACAGACAGTTTGTTTTTGCTCTCTAGCTTGTGCAGTTCTGCTTAGGTTTGTTTGAATGACTCTTTAGGTAACAATGTCTGAATCTATGGTAAGTGCCTCTTAGTGTCATTAGGATTGTAAAGAGAGTGTCAAGAATAGTCTGCTGGGACTTTCAGTCATGGTAGACAAGGAGTGCACCTACATTGTAAAATTAATAAAATTTGAAACTACTTTAGTTGCCATGGTTCAATGTTATGGGATTATTGGCGTTGTAGTGTTACAAAGTCTTTAGCCTACTGTGACGAAGAGTGCTGAATACACACTTCAGAATAACACAGCACCAAACTGTGGCAGTTAAAGTGGGGTCAAACTGCTTTAATTCTGCAGTGTAGGCGCATCCAAGGATATGAATTTATTGGATACTGATGTTACATTTGTTTGAGTTACTATAAAGTCATGTAGCCGAAATTCTCATGGTGGTATGCGAGAAGGCCTTACTGGTACATTATTTAAACTGTTATGTTTATTCATATCATGATCTGATCACCATACTCAATATATCCCATATGCATGGGGGTATTGGGGTAATGATGCAAAAGGTTTGCTAGGGCAGACCCTCTTTCACCCAGACACAGCCCCCCCATCAAACTGAGCCCCCCCCCCCAATCAAAATCCTGGCTACGGGCCTGTGTTGACATTTTAAACCATATTGGAGATGGTTTGAAAATTTAAAAGATCACCTGGGAGTCCTGTAATGTTTTCCTATTGAGATTTTTTTTTCTGTGTCAGGAGCGACTTGAGAAACTGCAAGTCACTTCTGGTGTGCGACAATTGGCCATCTGCAAGGAAGTTGCCCAGGGGATGCCCGGATGTTTTACCACCTTGAGGGAGGCTTCTTTCATGTCCTCACATGGGAAACTGGAGCTGACAGACAGGAGCTCACCCTGTTCCCTGGATTTGAACCACTGATCTTTCGGTCAGCAGTCTTGCCGGCACAAGGGTTTAACCCATTGCGCCACCGTGGGCTCCACTCTTGAGATATCTGAATGCAAAGCAGGATGCATGTATAGGTCGTTCTAGATTTGCACTGGAGCAGCTCATCTTTGAAAAACCTATCACAATATTCAGCTGGATCAATTTGACCTTTCCCAATGACCTAGAAATTATTACACACACTCTAGTTTGGCTTTCAATGAACATTTATCCTTGGCCTATAATGAGTCCAATAGAAACCTTTGATCAACCTTCAATTTTTAATCTTACAGGTTTATGCTGAAAAAATAAGACCAATGGTCCGAGATGGTGTTTATTTTATGTATGAAGCTCTTCATGGGTCTCCGAAGAAAATTCTTGTAGAGGGTGCCAATGCAGCACTGCTTGACATTGACTTTGGTATGTATAAGATGTAGTTGTCTGCTACTGGAAAAAACTATCTTAGTACTTAAGAAGTAGGAAGGCTTGCACACCTACTTCACACGGAAGATGTGTACTTAGGAGCATCTCTGACCGAGTAACAAAGATCTTGCATTAGAAGAAGAATAAAACTTCTCTGAAATTTTCCTGGCTGGTCTGATTTAGCAGGGCTTTTGTTACGTTCTTAAACAAGCCTACTTGTAACATCTGTTTACCCGCATCTTAAAATTAATTTGTCGGTTCCAGAGAGATATATTTATAGTAGTCTCACTGAAATAAATGAAAGCAAAATTGGTCGTGATTATTGATTTTAGTGGATATACTTAGTTTAGATTCAACTCAGTGTCAGATATGGCCTGAGAATCTGCCTCATTCTTGTGCTGCTCAGGGAGTAGCTCATCTCTTTCAAAAACCAAGCTAAAATGGTGGAAGTTTGAAGGGAAATGTCTGTCTTGAGTCTCTAGAGCAGTGGTTCCCAACCTTTGGTCCTTCAGTTTTGGACCTCAATTCCCAGAAATCCCAGCCACTTTACCAGCTGCTAGGAATTGTGGAAGCTGAAGTCCAAAACACCTGGAGGACCCAAAGTTGGGAACCACTGCTCTAGAGGCAGTTCTGTGCATCTTTTTAACTATTAATTAGACTATTCTTTAGCTAACTGACAACACATGTGAAAAAACATTTTGAAATAAGCAAATCAAGGTGTTGATATGTTTTCTTCTCATGCCATATTTTTTATTTGTAGGCACATACCCTTTTGTGACATCGTCAAACTGTACTGTGGGAGGTGTATGCACTGGACTCGGTATTCCTCCTCAATATGTCGGAGAGGTATATGGTGTAGTGAAGGCCTACACAACGAGAGTGGGAATTGGAGCCTTCCCCACTGAACAGATAAATGTACGTTTGGCAGTTGCTAAACACACAAGGTCAGGAGTGCTTTAGTCAAAAGTTGTGATACGGTAGTTGTCCCCTGCTGCTGTGTTGATACCAGCCTATGCTAAATGGCCATATTCTATTTTTGAGTCAGCAGTAGATTAAACAGACATTTCAGTTGTCAAGTGCAATATGAGAGGGTACACACTAATTGCTGGTTCTTTTTATTTACATCACATTGATTGTATGGATCTTTTAATTAACATCTGTTGCCATATGTTATTGATTCTATTGCTCTTGTTAATTTTATATGTCTGGTTTTAATGTGTTGTTGGTTTTAATGTTGATATATTGTATTTTATATGTTGTTTGGCACCATTGTGTGCTTTGTAAGCTGTCCCAAGTCCCTATGGGAGATGGTGGCAGGGTATAAATAAAAGATTATTGAATTACTCAGGATTTATACGTATAACACTTGGAATTTGGCTTGTTGATTTGTGTTTATAGCATAATAAAAATATAAGTTAATAAATAAATAAATAAAAGATTATTATTATTATATTCACCACACTTAGCACAAATTAAATGCTGTTTTTATGGCGTTATCTCTGGCTTGAACCTAGTTTTAAGTTTTTTGTCAATATCCTTATAAAATTCCTAGAACTCTTAATTTTAATTTCTTATGCTGCAGGATTTGCCCAAAGATGTAATTGAGGGTGAGTGAGGGCTGTTAAAATGATGCATGGACTAGTAGAAAAATATGAAAACAATCTAATCAGAATGTACAAGGAAAACAATATTGGACAACCTAGAAAACTTTATTAGAGGCTTGTGATTAACGTGAAATTGATAAATATAAAGTAATGTCAATCAGATTTCTTTTTTGTAGATCCAATTTCAGTCAGATCTAGCTATCCTTTTGTCTAAATTCTTATTTTTTTACTTGCCCCATATTAAGCAAATGTACATTTTCTAAAGAAATTATAAAACACATCACATTGTTTAATAAAAAAAACAATAACTTCTATCTCGCCACCATCTCCCCGAAGAGACTTGGGGCAGCTTACAGATGGCACAAAGTGCCTAAAAACAAACATAAAAGTCAGCACAATATAAAATACAATAAAATAAGACACATGCACATATAAAAACATCAATTCAGACTTAATCAACCATGATGGGAAATTACTGGCACCATGGCCTGGTTGTAAACATTGGAATAAAATAAGTGCCAGCTGCAGTAATGGAGAGAGGGCATGGGATAAAGTTCAGGTTGTGCGACTGCTACGTAGGACAACTAGGGGCTAAATATTCTCAAAGGCTTGATTGATGTTCATAATGGTGCAGTATGAACAAATCTTGCCAAACCTTGTAATAAATTTACATTAGGGTTGCATTAGGTTGGTAAGCATTTGAAGCCACACAAAAGCAACAAAATTACAGTGGAAATGAGAATTAATTTTCTAAAACCCTTTTATGTTATAAAACTAGGCTTCAGTGCTACAGTTAATCTACTGGGGCTTTAGGGCAGAGTTGACGTAGGTGCAGCTCATGGGCAGCATGCAGGCCTTAAGGAAAACATTTCCTTTAGCCTCAGCTTTGAAGAGGGCAAAATATAAGGTAATGGATTGAAATACAGTTTTGCAGAAATAAAAAAATGCTAAGAGCCTGGGGCCAATTTTTCCATGTTCTTGCATTCCCCTTGGACTGTTTCCAGTCCAAGAAATCCCCTCGTTCTTTAAAGGAGAAAACTTATACCAGCCTGGAAGCTGGCATAGTGGTGTCCAGAACCCCTGAGTTCTGAGTACCACCGAGACAGAAAGATGTTAACAAGCTGGAACTGTTTAGAGAAAGGTGATGAAGATAATTAGATGTTTGGAAATCAAGCCCTCTGAGGAATGAGGGCATGTTTAGTCTGGAAAAGAGACAACTGGGAGATGACATGATGGCTATCTTTAGATACCTGAAAGGATATTGAGCTGAAAATTGAGTTAGTTTGTTGAAGTAGTTGATTCAATTAACAAGAAAAGAGATTCCATCTAAACATCAGGACGATTTTTTACTGCAAGAGCTGTTTGATACTGGAATACTGCCTTGGAGTAGTGGTTTCCAACATTCGTTCCTTCATAAATTTTGGACTTCAGCTTCCAGAATTCCTGAATGTTAGTTAAGTTTGCTGGAACTTCTGGGAGTTGACATCACAAACACCTGGAGGAGCAAAGGCTGGGAACCACTGCCTTAAAGGGGGTGGGGTTTCGATCTTTGGAAGTGCTTAAACAGAGGTAGAGTAGGAATCTTTCATAAGTGTTTTAGTTGGGTATTCCGGCATGTAGGGTGTTGAATGAGATGCTCGTTGCTTTCCCCTCCAACTCTATGATTTCCCCTCCCTTTATTTCTGTGGCAGGTAATTTAGAGAATTTCCATGCATTAATGAATGCAAATATGAGAAATAGTGATTCTTCGGGCAGCTTCTCCCCCCACAAGCTGTAAGATTATAAGTCTTTTTCAGCACCTGATACAGAGGACTTGTGTTGCTGAAGAACCATAATGAACATCTTTCTCCTTCCAGGAAATTGGGGACCTCTTACAGTCTCGAGGCCACGAGTGGGGAGTGACCACAGGCAGAAAAAGGCGCTGTGGCTGGTTAGACCTTGTCATTTTGAGATATGCTCATATGATCAACGGATTCACTGCGTAAGCATCACAGATTTTGAGCTACACTTGGAACTCATAATTTTTTATCCTCTGGAATGCAAATATGTAGGTAACATTAAGACTAGATAAGCAAAGTATTGTTATGTGTATTTGTTAAGGGTTATCTGCCACTTTGATCCATTAAGTTAAAGGGCCTTAAAGTTGGGAATCCTAGTACACATGTGTTTCCTTAAATAGGCTGCCTCCCTATTCTTTTGGAACATCCCACCTGGATAGATGGAAGAAAATGTCCACCTGGGCTTGGTGTCACTTTCCCCTGAGAGGTAGAATAATCCAAGTGAAGTGAATCAGTGTGCTTCAGAGCTCCCCCTGTGCCTTTGGGTGGAAAATATCATCCATGTGTCCAAAAAGGAATGGTACCAGTGAGGGTTAAGTGAAGAGTGAATGGGAAAAGAACTTTAGAGATGACATCACATAAGTTCAGTATGATACATGAGGCCTCTCTTAAATTACAGAATCAGGTTAACTATCTTTGATTGATTGATTGATTGATTGATTGGTGGTATTTGTATACCACCCTTCTCAACCCCGAAGGGGACTCAGGGCGGTTTGCAGTGTTGGCAACAATTCGATGCCATTGATTAAAAAAAAGAGTATAAAACATTTACTGATAAAACATTAAACATTATTAAACACACCACATAAAATAACATCGCATATCACATAAAGACATAGCCGTTGTCCGTAAACAGTCCTGGGTTAATGAACTTTCAACTGTTACTTTAAATATTCCTATGATGGGCAGATTATGGCCACTAAACCTCAATTTTGTGAAGTCACTTCCCTTCTAATTTCCTTCATGCCGTCCATCATCCCAAGTTCTTTAATACCACCACAATTTTCTGGCAGTTTTTGCCCCAGGTCATGCAGAAAACTCTCAAAATGTGTGAAAACATGCAAATACACCATACTATTCCCAATACCTCTATTTTCCATAGCAGTGCCTTCTAATATGGAGACCATAATGGCAACATCGATTTCCCTTGCTATTTGGAGATGGCTTGCAGAGGAAAACAAGAAGTATTTGGGCAAACTGTGGAAGAGCGTGGCCTATGGAGGGAATTGTTCTCTGACTCCCCCACAGTTGCCATCCTGTGTTTTCCTTGCTTTATGCCAGTGACTAGCTATTTCAGGGTGAAACAATCACACCAATTTAACTAATAGTCCCTGGTCTTACCCATATTATAATGACATCTCTGGTCCTGGTTTGCCTACTATATTTCAACCTTCTCCCAAATAACTAGATTCAGAGGATGTTTTAATCCTCCACACTTTAAAGTCTCCAACCTCTTTTGAAGCTGCTTTGGGGGAGCTTGCCTACCGGTCCTTTTTATGAGTTTTTTGGTCAGCTTGGGTCTGAATCAAATATGCAGCTGTTTTGCTGCAACCCACTCTGACAGTTTACATCACACAGCAAGATTAAGGGAAATAGCAATGTGCCATTATCATAATATTGATAAGGAACAATTGCTCCTGTTGTCACAAAAAAAATAGCTGCTTGCAATGGGACGTAACACATTCTCTGCTGATAAGATTCCAATATATCTAGCAGTACAAGATCTAGGCCAAGAGATCAGAGAAGGAAATGAATAGTATAGAGTTGCCTTGCTGCTTTAGCAAAGGCATGGGGAGATTATACAGAATTGATGCTTAAAATTCAGTCTCGCTCTAGCAGGAATTTTCACCCAATGTTAACTTATAGTGAAGGGCAATAAAATTATGTTCTTGAGACAGAAAGGTTGATGGAACTTGTAATTTCCTAATCTGTCATTGAAGAGCTAGATTATTTCTGTAGTGGCCCAACCAGATACTTTCTTGGTTCGCAAAGTTTAAAAACCATTTGGTGCCTGAAAATGGATCAGTCTCACTTGCTGCACATTTTAAAGAGGCATTTGCCACATATAGGTTGAGGCCAAGCTGCCATTTTAGGTATGTATTCTACATTTTAGAATCAAATACATGACATATTTGTTTAATGTATAATGTATAACTGCAATCTCAGGAGGTGTGTGAATGTATACATTTAGGTATCTGGAATGTGCATGTACAATGATTTTATTCTGTGATGATTTGAATTTGTATATTAGCATTCTGCCTTTAAGTGGAAAAGGTTGAAAAGTGAAGAGGATTAAAAAGTGTTTAGCTGTAAGCCTGCTTTATCAGTAACTGTATTTATTGTTTCTTGGCAGTCTGGCATTAACAAAACTAGATATTCTGGATGTCCTTGATGAAATCAAAATTGGTGTTGCTTACAAGCTAGGTGGAAAAAGGATTCCTTATTTTCCAGGTATGAATTTATTATCTTGGCCTTTTGATTTTTTCCCCCACATTCTTAATATAAGTTTTCCACTTCATCTTTTTGTAAACACTTGCTATGTTTTAAGTTGCAAGGTTTGTGCCCATTCAGTAGCGTCACCAGTTGTGTAAACCAGCCGAAAGAATTAGCTTCGCATGTGTAAAACAGGTGCCACAATTTGTAAATAGAACTGTCCACAGGGACAACAAACAACTTAATGTAAGCTTGTATACATACATGTTTAATGTAAACTGTTTAAATCTATTGATAATTAAGATAGTTGTTTATATTTTGAATAAGGATGGTATGTTGCTCATCAGAGCACAATTGTATTTTATTTGACTTACTTTCACAGCTAACCAGGAAATACTACAGAAAGTAGAGGTGGAGTATGAAACAATGCCAGGATGGAAGACAGACACAACTAATGCAAGAAAATGGGAGGAACTTCCACCCAAGGCACAAAATTACATTCGGTTTGTGGAAAACCATGTTGGAGTGGCAGGTAGGCATCTTCTCAGCACTTATCCATCAGGGCATGTCACTTGCAGACTAAGCTGTGTGCCAGGAAAGCTTTACATCAGTCGGGCAGAGATGATTTTTCAGCTTTCTAGTAGATCATATAGGTGTCTCCTAGGTACAACTATCCTAAACAGTATTTTAATGATGGATACCTTTTCTGCCTGCTGCTTTACACCCAGAGTTAAGACTAGCCATACTTTAGACCAGGCATGGGCAAACTTCAGCCCTCAAGGTGTTTGGGACTTCAACTCCCACAATTCCTGGCCTCAGGCCCTTTCCTTTCCCCCCTCGGCCTCTTAAGCATAACATTTTTTAAAATAAGACAAACCGCAAGAAAGAGTTCTGGGAATTGCAGTCGCTGGTTGTGTCCATTCTCAGCCAATCAGAGCATGGACACCACCAGCTTTTTATTAACTGAGAGAGACAGAGAGAGAAAAACTTCAACTCCCATCATCCTCAGAGAGGAACTTTCAACCCTATGCTAGTGCCATTGGGAAAGTGAGTTCAAAGGGCTCTCTGGAGGAGGAAACTTTCCAAGAAGAAATGGAAGAGGCTTCTTCTGCAGGGAAGAGAAAAAGACACCACAAACCTCCCTTATAGTTTGTGGACTTAACTCTTTCCAAAAATGTCATTTCTCTGAATTCGTTTTACTGGTCTTTTAGTCTCTATCTTCCCCTTTCTGTTTTTGGAAATTACACAAAAATTACCCTCCGAAAACGACAAATCTTTTCATTAACAGTGATTCAGACCCAACTCTACTAGATTATACCATTACTCAGTCTCCCTATAGTTAAGATGGGTGTAGCACACCCTACCTGTAGCTTTCTGCAAGTCTGTATTTGTGGTATATTTTAGGATTGTTTTCTTAACGTTTTGCATGGAAGTTGAAATATAGGAATAAATTGGTTGTACTATTTTACAAGTGTACAAACTACGTTAAATTTTGTTACCCATTTTCACTGTTGTTGTTTTGGAGTGTGCATTAGGGTACTAGTTTAAAAAGGGTTATATTTTGTAGTTTAGTATCCAATAATTATTTCTTTCTTTCCTCTTTAGTTAAATGGGTTGGAGTTGGAAAATCAAGGGAATCGATGATTCAGCTTTTTTAACCACAGAAAGAACTTTGGTGCCAAGAAACACAGTTGAGTGTCCACCTGTTCCTTTCTTTTCCCCATCTGAGATGAAGATGCTGTTGAAATCAAAACATTCTTCCTAGAATATGATTAGGTGTATCTTTCTTCTATTGTTGTTTTCAAGTATAAAAAATATCAAGAACACAGAATAAGAGCAATCAAGAGTGAGATTTGGAGTAAGGGAATCTTAAGTTCAAATTTGAAACTGCTCTAAAAATTTGAAATTATGCCAGATTGCAGAGAGACATAATGGCATATTCCTTTTCCTGTGTTGGGAAGCAAAAGAAGAGGTGACATAACATGTTTATGTACCTTCACGTCTTTTCCAAATTATTTAGACTTTAAAGCAACTCTATCATAGAGTTTTCTTGGCAAGATTTGTTCAGAACGGGTTTGCCATTTGCCTTCCTTTGAGGCTGAGAAAGTGTGTGTTCCCTAGGGTCTCCCACTGGGTTTTTATGACTGAGCAGACATTTGAATCACGGTCTCCCAGAGTCCTAGTCCAACACATCAACCTCTTGAACATGTATTTAAAATTAGACTGGCTGTGAGCATCGCATTTCAATAAAAATATGGCCATCAAAGCAAATGCTATTGCCTTGAAGCCTGCACATTTTCAATAAAAGCTTTTCACATCCAAAAAAGGAAGAGAAATAAGTTGCAATCATTTGTTGGCAGCGGTCAAACTGCAGATGGCTGTCTGAGCTGGGGATAAACAGTTTCTCTTCTTTTGTTTCCCACTAGGCAGCTCAAGTGGAGTTCTTACTCCATCATACAATAGGCAATAGATTAAAAGGAGAAAGACAGCAGATGCAGAAAGTGTTCCTAAAGGGATGTAGATGGGACAGCATCTTGCAGTACGTTACTGTATAGAGCTTCACTGCATCCTTGGTTGCGATCTTTATAGAAGATCTTCAGGATTTTAATCTTCCAGAGAGACATTTTTCTTCTGCAGTTGTTACTTTATCACTACTCCACATAACAACAACAACAATCTTTATTTGTATACCACCACCATCTCCTGAAGGAACTTGGGGCAGCTCACAAAAGCACTCAGTGGCGCAACATACATAAAATACAACAAGTACATAGCAATAAGACAATAACAAAAATAACACTTAGCCTTCGAGTCGAATATAAGGAAAAATGGTGTGACTGCTCCATTAGCCTTCTACGAATAAAAAAAAAATTCAAGTTCGACTTCCTACTAATTTAGGCAGTTTTCTGTCATTCTAGAGAGCTGCTATACTCCAGCAAAGCTTTAAAGCAATGTTTCTCATGCTGTCCAATGTGAGGACCAGCAGGTTATTGTCATATGTGCCAGGAACTGGTAACATAGTTATTCCTATAGTAGTGTATACTCACAACCAGCTGTTGAAGCACTATTGCCAAACCACAGATTATTACTTTGAGAAGTGTTGATTTTAAAATACAATGCATAATTCCCACAAACACAGTCCTATTGCTGATAAGTAACACAAGATAATAGTAATACACTTAAATACATTTTTTTAATATTCCGCTTTATCTTCCCGAAGAGACTCAAGAGTGGATTATAATATACACTTACAAAGCAAACATTCAACAACATACAACACAGCCTTCTTCTTGAGGTTGTTACCTTTGTGACAAAAGGGGCGCAACAACATGGAACTGTTGTGTCTAGCCTTAATTTTCCTGTTTGAAATGCCAACAGTGGTGGCCAGTGCCATTGCAGCTAGGAGCATGAGACTGTCATGGAGCAATGAAGCACAAAGTTTAAATCAAAATAAAGGTGCATGTGGTCAGTTTGTCGCTACTTATAATACTAAAGATAGTATCAGTGGAAGTAGGCAAACATTTTCAGGAAACAGAACTGTCACAAGAGAAACGTGTCACTGCTTTAGTACTACTGTGTCACCCATGCATCCTCCGCCAGTTGGTAATAGGACAATTACCATTGGTTTTAGAGTAATCTCTGGTCATGCACCATTCTGGACATGAACTGGACTGGTACATTAGTTAAGAAGTACAAACAATGTGATATGCTTCCTTGTACTCCTTATGCACCTGCCAGGTAATGTATTGTAGTAAGGTAAAGGTTTCACCTTGATATGAAGTCTGGTTGTGTCTGACTGTGGGGGATGGTGCTTATCTCCATTTCTAAACCGAAGAGCTGGTGTTGTCTGTAGACGCCTCCAAGGTTATGTGGCCAGCATGACTGCATGGAGTGCTGTTACCTTCCCTGCTGGAGTGGGATCCATTGATCTACTGACATTGGCATGTTTTCAAACTGCTAGGTTGGCAGAAGCTGGGGCTAACAGCAGGAGCTCACCCTGCTCCCCGGATTCGAACCGCCAACCTTTCGGTCAGCAAGTTCAGCAGCTCAGCAATTTAACCCGCTGCGCCATCAGGGGCTCCATGTATTGTAGTGCCCAAATTAATTCTTACAATGTAGAACTTTATGTAAAACCCTTCTCCTCGTTCCAGGAGGAAAATGATTAAAGTCATTGTGCAGTTCTCTTATCTGCTATTCTGAAAAAAATGCTGATTATCAGGAATGGTTTTTAGAACCTTCTAATGGCTATCAGCACACTGATGCCGTAATGTAGGCTCATCTGACTTTTTGCATGGACGGAATTGTTTTTCCCCCACTTGATTAATATTGTATAATAAAAACTCCCATCTAGAGTGAAAGTGGTCAGCATAATGCCGATAAACTGTGCATACTGCCAAATTTTTCACACTGTATGTGAACAATGGCAATTTTTGGAATAATTTAGTGCTTGGACAACAGCAATAATCTTAATAGACGCACGCCTCTTTATGGAGTATGAACTATTGTGTTCATAGTCCCATGGCAGCTTGCACACACAACTTCACTGCTGAGCAAATACTGAGAAACAAATCTTTGTATACCTAATATTTTCATGCATATGGATGAAGGCAGGGGTATTAATTTTAAGCAAGGCTGGGGTTTTTTTTGTACAGACAACCAATATCTCAGATGTTTTAAAATCATAATTAGAAGAGATCACAGGTGCCATCCAGTCCAACCCCTTGCTGTGCAGAAATATGCATTCAAAGCACTCCCGAAAGTATTTTGCTTTCAAAAGTATGTATTCAAATGTGACACCCTTCTGTTCTTCTTCCCTTATGCTTCGTTGAGGACTAAAAAACCCTGTAAATTAAGCAGAAGCAATCTCCAGCCATCCTTTTCCTTGACCAATACCTCAGTGTTGCCAACAGTAATATGGATTAGTGGCTCAGCTACGCTGTACAACTAGAGTAACCTCTAGGCCAGACTTGCACTATTTGAAATGTATTCAAAGCACCACAAAATTCTATAAGAGCTCTCAGGAAGGCAGCAAAGAGGCTTTTAGGACAATCCTGTTGAGATGAGTCTTTCATTACACTGGAGATTTTTAATGTTTTATAGATCACTTCTTACCACTATCACTGCCAATGTATTTGCTTTTCTGGTGAGTTCCAGTCCTGCCAGAAAATTCTTGGGAATCCCTGTCTTTGGCCCTCTGTGCCTCAGCACATTAGCACTTGAGCAAAATTCACCAATGTGGCCTTTATCCTGATATGCTAAGAATGCATCCAGGACATTAAGTAGTTGATGTGATCTCTAGATGCTCTGACTTCCTTTCTGTGCTTTGTAAACAAATGTAGCTTTATTTGAAATGTCATCTTTGTCTTGTAAAGGTGGGGGTGATTTGTTGTGTTGTTACGCAGATACATATCACCCCTGCCTCGTGGCTATTTTATTCAAAGCCCTTTTACAACTACTACTACTACTCAAGGTAAACTGCATACATTCTGTTCAGAGCAATGGCTGTTGAGCATCTTAACCAGCAGCATTGCAGTCTACTGGGAAATGTTCCCATTATAGTGCCAGTAAAATGAATAGGGTGATGATCAAGAATACTTCCCACTCGTTTCATTACAGCAAATGAGGGATTTCTGTTGGTTCACCCAGTGACATCAGGACTTTTAGCTGCCACTAAATCACAGTTTAATGTTTCTGTAACCTATTCTGTTAGATGATATTTATAGAGTATTTTTATTGAATTGTTGGCTTTATTCTTACAGAAATCTCTATTCTCTCAAAGTAAAAGCACTGAGATTCAAAATTAGGGAATTATATTGCAATCCATTCAATGATGCAGACTTCAATAAGATATGTGTTTGATGTGAACACTGCATGTTGCTCTCTGGAATGTTTCTTGCTAAATAATATATTGAATCTTCAGTTGGAATTTGGTTATAACCATTTAGTATTAATTTGCTCTGCACACAGGTTAAAGGCAATATTGATAATCTGAAATTCAAATGATTGAGTTGAATTAATGTGGGGAACAGCATGGCCAGAAACTGAAAAAGTAATGCAAGGATTTCAGTAGAAAAGTCATGTTTTGTGTATTAAAATTTACGATGCTTTCACACAAATAAAGCTGGCAGTACACCGGTCACTAAATGCACCAAAAATGTGTTCTTGATTATTTTTGTATACTGTAAGTGAAGCTGTATCCTCGTATTGTACACCAGTTTTCTTTGCTTAATAAAGCCTTACATGACAGGGAGTATAGAATTTGATCTCTTGAGTCCTTCTTTGTGTATATATACGTACATAGGAAGTCAATCCATACTCATGCTTGGACTGCTTTGCAGAATTTCTGCCAAAGTCAATTTCTTTTCGAAAGACAGTACTGTGTTCAACACATATTATGAGAACATGTAACACGTGAATCAGGAGAAGCTAAACACAGTAAAACAAAAAAGGGAATAAATAATATTACAAGAATCTCTAAATGCTAATACCCACTGCTTAACTCATAGCTTTGTTGAGAACAGGTTGAAAACTGCTTCCAAAAACTGCAGAAACTATCGATGGCAAATGTGTCAATGGATCAGCAGTCCTGACAGCACATCAGAAACATGGATGTGGACAAAATGGTTTGTTGCTGTTGTAAATGTTTAGCCCACAAATTGAAAAAAAGCAACCTACAAAGCAGCAGGTGTTGCTAAGACTGGGACGCAATTAAGGAGGAGGTGTTGTTAATCAGCACCTCCAAGACTTCTATCAGAAAGAACTCTGCAGTGGCAGCAGTTGCAGAAGATTCATAACAGAAGGTCTTGCTGACAGTGTTTGCCTGCCTTGATTTTTAAAGCAGTGACAAAAGTGACATATGTTGCTCAATTTCAAGCATATTTCTGAACAGTACTGGTTTTTTGGCAGTCTTATATTTGGCAGGAAACACCATAATTGCCTTTGTCCCTTGTGATGCCTAATCATTCCACTAATAAATCTCAAATATTTGTCAAAACTCTGGACACATCAGGAGCTTACAAAAATCCATTTTTGGGGGTTGGGAATTAAAGTAGAAAGTACATGGCAATATGTATGACTACAAATTTTCTAAACTCCAATCCTATTGTGGCTGATAGAATATCAAGAGTGATCCTTTGTGGAGGCAGAAAAGTAGTTTTATTTTCAGCTGAGACCTAGGTGTGGAATTTCCTTCCCAAAAGCAAATCTGAGGATAAAAGCATTGATTTTCCCTTTTATACATCTTCAAATACAGGCATCAAAGAAACATGCTCCTACATACGTTAACATCATTACTACGCCACTTTAGCATCATAGAAATATCTATAGCATTTTTTTTTCTATCTAAGAGCAGCTTACAGTAAGTTAGAGATATACGGTTCGGCTACAAATCAATCAAGGGGCCTATTTTTTACCTGACAGGAGAGATGGAGAGAGTATGGCCCGTACCACCTCTAACTTGAGCCTTGTACACAAATCTCCTTCAGCATCCTTTTGTCCTGTCGGCTTTCCAATACAGAGAATCTGATTTTTCTACATTTCAGTACTTCTAATGTGCATACAATATATATGTCAATGCCTATATATTGCAATATCTCCACATCACTACGTATTTCTTCCATAGTTAGGTCCTAATGAGTTTGGAGAATATATTTGGAGCATAGATGCTGCTAGTAGTGCTGGAATGTTCAATGTTTCTGTTCAGTTATGTTAGGCGAAATGCACTGGCAACTCAAATCTCTAAAGCAGGCAAGGGCAAACTTTGGCCCTCCGGGTGTTTTGGACTGCAACTCCCACAATTCCTAACAGCCGGTAGGCTGTTAGGAATTGTGGGAGTTGCAGCCCAAAACACCTGGAGGGCCAAAGTTTGCCCTTGCCTGCTCTAAAGTATCATCAAACGCATCTACACTGTCAAATTAAAGCAGTTTGATCCCACTTTAACTGCCATGGCTTAATACTATAGAATCCTGGGAGCTGTAGCTTTAGGTCTTTTGCCTTCTCTGCCAAAGAGTGCTGAGGCCTCACCAAACTACAACTCCCATGATTACTTAGCATTGAGCCATGGTGGTTAAAGTGGATTCAATTCACATTATTTCTATATTTATTTATTTACGACATTTATATGCCGCCCTTCTCACCCCGAAGGGGACTCAGAGTGGCTTACTATACACACACACACACACTAGCTGTCCCCTGGAAAATAAAGGAATGAGAAAGTGTTGGTTTCTAATATATGTAATTTCTTTATGCTTGTGAGTAAACAGTATTTCTTGCTGTTTCTTTGTCAGTGTTGATGTGGAGAGTGTCTGGTTTGCCCACCCTGGAACATGCAACATATCATTGTCCTTCTTTAAGAGTCCCTTTCAAATCTATGATACTGTATCTGTCTGTGTGTGATTCATCTCTCTCTCTCTCTCTCTCTCTCTCTGGCTGGATGGCTCTTTGTCAGGAGGGCTTTGATTACATTTTCTTGCCCTGATGAAGGGAGTTGGATAGGGTGGCCTTAAGCGTTTTCTGTTGGCCGTGTGTGGGGAGTTTGCCCCAATTCTGTCGTTCGTGGGGTTCAGAATGCTCATTGATTGTAGGTGAACTGTGAATTCCAGTGACTACAACTCCCAAATGTCAAGTTCTATTTCCCCCAAACTCCACCAGTATTCATATTTGGGCATATTGAGTGCTTGTGCCAAGTTTGGTCCAGATCCATCATTGTTTGAGTCCACAGTGCTCTCTGGATGTAGGTGAACTATAACTCCCAAACTCAAGGTCAATGCCCACCAAACCCTTCCAATATTTTCTGTTGGTCATGGGAGTTTTGTGTGCCAAGTTTAGTTCAATTCCATCATTGATGGAGTTCAGAATGCTCTTTGATTGTAGGTGAACTACAAATCCTAGCAACTACAACAAGTGACAAAATCATAATTTTTTGAGCGATGGTCACTCCTTGTGTTGTGAGACGTTTTGTTGCCATATTTGGTGTGATTTCGTTCATTGGTTCTTTTGTTTTTAAGGTACTCATTATGCACAGAGCATTTATATATATATAGATATTATTAGCATAGTACAATATCAGTATTATATATTACTATATTGCATTATGCCATTACATTGTAATATTATTATATTATTATTAGTATTATATTGTATTACATTATAATATTATAAACATTATATGTATAGACAATATATTATCTATAGTGTAGATGCAACCTAAGACTTCTAAAAGACTTCTGGTTTAGGCTCATGAAGACTTCTGGAGAATTAAAAAACTTGCATTTTTTGTAAATGTATAGACTTAAAAGTGTTACCAAAATCGAGGATATCCTGCTGAGCAAAACATTCCTAACTAATGAAGTGCCTGTCACTTTAAGAACGAGTCCTCCAATCAGCTTCGCCTCTAGGCGTTGTCCCCGCCCCTTTCACGAAAAAAACATCCCTGAGGCGCTTCCTCCCAGGCTGTCACTTTAACAAATCAGTCATCCAATCAGCTTCGCCGCTAGGTATTGTCCCCGCCCACATTCCAGGGCCTACATTCCGACCCGCCTTTTTTCCCCCTCTTACTTAATCCCTTACGCGATTGGTGGACATCTCAGTGACTTCATGCCAAGCGGGTTAGAAAGCGGGCAGTGAGTTTGGTTGCTCGGGAGGTTTTCCCGCGCAGGAGAGAACGAGAGTCCACATCCGGGTGCCTTTGGAGTGAGTGAGTGAGTAAGGGAGGGGCGAAGGAATGCCGAAGCGCTCCTGCCCATTCGGGGACTCGGCCCCGGCGCAGCTGAAGACCCGCGTGAGGCTGAAGGAGCTGAGCCAAGGCGTCCTGGGCGAGCAGTACCAGCGAGCCATCTTCGGTAAGGGCAGCAGAGCTTCTTAGAGGCTTCACGAGGGCGGCACTGGTGCGCATGCGCTTCTTGGAGGCTTCACGATGTTGCGCATGCGCAAAGGGACTGGTTTTTTTCTCTCTCTCAGTGAAACTTTGGTCAAGCCTTGTTTTTCCCAGTCTCGCGAGACTTGAGCCTTTTCTCTCTGATACTTTGTCAGATAGGGTTCTTCCAAGTGGGCTTAGTCAGTGGTTCTCAACCTGTGGGTCCACAGGTGTTTTGGCCTACAACTCCCAGAAATCCCAGTCAGTTTATCAGCTGTTAGCATTTCTGGAAGTTTCATCTATACTGATGATTGTGCCATCACCGCTCAAGCAGGGAAGGTCTAGGTCACTGGTTCTCAACCTTGCTAATGCCATGACCCCTTAATGCAGTTCCATATGTTGTGGTGACCCCCAACCATTGTATTGTTTTCATTGTTACTTGATACCTGTCATTTTACTACTTTATAAATCGTAATGTAAATATCCGATATGCAGGATGTATTTTCATTCACTGGACTAAAATGAACACAAATACCAAATATGCCCAAATGTGAATGCTAGTGGGGTTGGGGGAGGATTGATTTTGTAATTTGGGAGTTGTAGTTGCCTTTAATCAAAGAGCATTCTGAACTCCACCAGAGATGGATTTAAACCGAACTTGGCACACAAAACTCCCATGACGATTAGAAAACACTGGAAGGGTTTTGTGGGCATTGACCTTGAGATTGGGAGTTGTAGTTCACCTATATCCAGAGGAGTGCTGTGGATTCATGCAATGATGGATCTGGACCAAACTTGGCACGAATACTCAATATGCCCAAATGTGAACACTGGTGGAGTCTGGGGAAAATAGACCTTGACATTTTGGAGTTGTAGTTATTGGGATTTATAGTTCACCTACAATCAAAGAGCATTCTGAACTCGACCAACAATAGAATTGGGTCAAACTTCCCACACAGAATACCAATGACAAACAGAAATACTATGTTTTCTGATGGTCTTTGGCGACCCCTTTGACACCCCCTCAGGGGTCCCGACCCCCAGGTTGAGAAACACTGCTCTAGGTGCTCTTACTGCCTATTACAGGGAAAACCAGCTGATCCCCAACCCATCTAAAACACAGACATGTGCCTTTCATCTCAAGAACAGACAAGCATCCCGAGCTCTGAGGATCACCTGGGAAGGAATCCCACTGGAGCATTGCAGCATACCTGGGAGTCACTCTGGACCATGCTCTTACCCACAAGAAGCACTGCCTGAACATCAAGCAAAAAGTGGGGGCTAGAAACAATATCATACGAAAGCTGACTGGCACAACCTGGGGATCACAACCAGACACAGTGAAGACATCTGCCCTTGCGCTGTGCTACTCTGCTGCTGAGTATGCATGCCCAGTGTGGAACACATCTCACCATGCTAAAACAGTGGATGTGGCTCTTAATGAGACATGCCGCATTATCACGGGGTGTCTGCGCCCTACACCACTGGAGAAATTACACTGCTTAGCCGGTATTGCACCACCTGACATCCGCCGGGAAGTAGCAGCCAATAGTGAAAGGACCAAGGCAGAGACATCTCCAGCTCATCCCTTGTTTGGGTATCAGCCAGCACGTCAACGACTTAAATCTAGAAATAGTTTTCTAAGATCTACAGAGACACTCGCCGGAACACCTCAGCAAGCGAGAGTCCAAAAGTGGCAGGCTCAAACCCAGAACCTCAACCAATGGCTGATACCAAATGAGAGACCCCCCTGGGCACACAGAGGACTGGGTGACTTGGAAGGCGCTGAACAGACTGCGCTCTGGCACCACGAGATGCAGAGCCAACCTCAAGAAATGGGGCCACAAAGTGGAATCCACGACATGCGAGTGTGGAGAAGAGCAAACCACTGACCACCTGCTGCAATGCAACCTGAGCCCTGCCACATGCACAATGGAGGACCTCCTTGCGGTAACACCAGAGGCACTCCAAGTGGCCAGATACTGGTCAAAGGACATTTAATCAACTACCAAACTCACAAATTTTGTATTTTGCCTGTTTGTTTGTTTGTTTGCTTTGTTCTGTTAGAAATGTAATATAATTGACTGATTGCCCTGACACGACAAATAAATAAAAATATATATATTTCTGGGAGTTGAAGGCCAAAACATCTGGGGACCCACAGGTTGAGAACCACTGGCTTAGTTAGTTAGAAGGGGAAGGCCCAATTTAGTTGCCATGGCAACATCCTGATTAGGCCTCTGAGGATGCTAAAGGCCTTTCCAGGCTACACAGGTGTTTGGGACTTTGGATTGGTGACTTTGAGGAAAAACTGGATTTGTTTAGTTATGTTATGTTATTTATATCCCGCTTTATCTCTCTGTACAGAGACTCAAAGCAGCTCACAATTAAAAAAAGCATTACAACTTAAAATATTCAAATATACAATAATAAAACAGCGTATCATTATATATTACACTGTTCTACAAATTTTCAGTTTTTCTCAGTTACGGAAATGAAATGTGCCGTTTCTTAATAAATTTAACATGCTGAATTCAAATATAATAATTAAATGTGTTAATTGGCTCTGGTTTTTATGCAACAGCTATTTCAATTTTCTCCACAATAGGTAATTCGTTAATATTATGACAATGCGCCTAACCTTACTGCATGTATAAACCGTGAATATTTACTAAATTTTAGTCAAATTATATTGCCAATAGTTTATACATGAGAAATATTTATTTAATTAGTCTATTGTTTATGTTTGTGCAGCAAGAAACTATATTAGTAGGCCTAATGCAGTTGAAAAGTCTGAAAGTTTAAATGTCGCTTTAATCGTGACTTTAGTTTATATCCTGTTTGCTTCTCTTGACTTTTCTTTTGTATTCAAGGAAAGGATTGTCTCTTACAATGCTCCAGCAGTAGTCTGACAGCATTGACGGAGTCCATTGGCCTGGGGGGAAGGGGGGGGGGGGGGGGGGGGGGGGGGGGGGGGGGGGGGGGGGGGGGGGGGGGGGGGGGGGGAGGAGGGGGGGGGGGGGGGGGAGGGGGGGGGGGGGGGGGGGGGGGGGGGGGGGGGGGGGGGGGGGGGGGGGGGGGGGGGGGGGGGGGGGGGGGGGGGGGGGGAGGGGGGGGGGGAGGGGGGGGGCTTTTTTCCATAGTGTTTTATTTACACACGTGCAAGGCATAACTACAGTAAAAAGAACAATGTAAAACGATGTTTAACGATACTGTCTCAGTCTTCAACTGACTGACCCTCACCGTTCAAAAGTCTGGCCTTATATAGGGCTTTCTGGCTTTTGCACACGGCACTAATACTGCGTCATCAAACTTTCTAGAGTATTCTAGAATCTTCCATAGTGTAAGTCGCAACATGCATTTTTTCAACCATACGTGATCATGTGATTGCTTATATCATAAAAACTAGAGCCAATATACATTTTTAAATGTCATTTTCGTTTTCAGCACCCCAAAATCATAAAAGAACAACTATTTTCAGGCCCGCAACTTTTTCTCCGTTGAACAGTGTTATCAGGAGTAATCATATTTAATATGTCAATATTATTGTATTAAAGGTAAAGGTTTTCGACTCTGGGGATTGGTGCTCCTCTCCATTTCTTTTATTTTATTATAGTTCAGTACATTCGTTATACATTGTTTATTTTACATCAGATACATATTATTCAATGCAACCTACCATACTGGATTGTTGTAGGTTTTTTCGTATTGGGAGCCCCGGGTGGCGCAGTGGGTTAAAGCTCTGTGCCGACAGGACTGAAGACCGACAGGTCACAGGTTCGAATCCAGGGAGAGATGGATGAGCTCCCTCTATCAGCTCCAGCTCCTCATGCGGGGACATGAGAGAAGCCTCCCACAAAGATGATAAAACATCAAAAATCATCCGGGCGTCCCCTGGGCAGTGTCCTTGCAGACGGCCAATTCTCTCACACCAATTTTCTCGCACCAGTCGCTCCTGACACGACAAAAATGTAATAATACTAATAAATTATATATAATATTAATAATGTTGTAATATTATATATATTATATATACAGTACTGCAATTTATGATATAGTACAGTATATTATATAATACTAATGGTATAATATACTGGTAGTATATTATATCTATTGTGGTATAATATTATAGAACAATATAATAACATATACTATAATATAATTTTATATTATATATTAATCTAATATTATTAATGTTGCAGTAAAGTGCAATATAGTAATGTATAATACGAATATTGTGCTAGGCTAATAATATAATATATGATATATACATATATCATGTATATATCACCGGGAGCCCCTGGTGGTGCAGTGGGTTAAACTGCTGAGCTGCTGAATTTGCTGACTGAAAGTCGCCGGTTCAAATCCGGGGAGTGGGATGAGCTCCTGCTGTTAGCTCCAGCCTCTGCCAACCTAGCAGTTCAAAATGTGAGTAGATCAATAGGTACCGCTGCGGCAGGAAGGTAACGGCGCTGCATGCTGGCCACATGACCTTGGAGGTGTCTACGGACAATGCTGGCTCTTCAGCTTAGAAATGGAGATGAGCAAAACTCCCAGAGTCGGACACGACTGGAGTTAATGTCAGGGGATAACCTTTACCTTTTTCTTATATACATGATATTGATAATATCTTTAGCCCTCCATATGTTTTGGACTTCAACTTCAGCTCCCTCCTCAACATGACATTCTTTTAATATTTAAGCATGGTTTTCATGTCACCTCTTAATCTTTGCTTCTCCAAGCCAAATATGCCCAGCCCTTTAAGACACTCCTCACAGGGCTTCGCTTCCAGACTATTGACAATTTGGGTCGGCCTTCTCCAGCTGGTCAGTATATCCTTCTTGAACTGTGGTGCTCAGAAATGGACACAGTACTCCAAGTAGAATGCTGAAACTTTCTCACTGGCTACAGGATTGTTACAACTTCAGACAGGCTTGCTTCTAAGAAAATGCTAAATTCATTGCTGTTACTCTATGGCAGGCATGGGCAAACTTGGGCCCTCCAGGTGTTTTAGACTTCAACTCCCAGAATTCCTAACAGCCTACCGGCTGTTAGGAATTCTGGGAGTTGAAGTCCAAAACACCTGGAGGGCCCAAGTTTGCCCATGCCTGCTCTTTGGACTGGATGTTGATTCAGACCACCATCCATGACATTCTTACCTTTACTTTTCGTCCCTTGTTTTGCAGAAAAAACAAAACAGCTTCTCTTCCGAGGTGCCCAAACGTATATGGAGAATCCGTGCATTGGGAGCACAGCAGGAGAATGTCTAAAAGCAGAGTTACCAGAACCACTTGCAGACAGGCCGGACGCATGTTCGCAGCATAAATGCAACGGACAAATGTTAATTGGACAGGATGGGAAACTTCGGCAGCCTAGTGCAAGAGAAGCAGGTGACTTGAGTTACGCCAGCTGTTCTGTTTCCTGAAAGGGAATTCCAGCTTTTGCAGTGTCCTCAGAAGCATATCTGCATAGATAAAGGGTAGTCATGCATGTGAACGTTCCTGCCTGATTTATCACCAAACCATTTTGATTCACATGGTCTGATGGACAGCTTCTTTTATAGATAACTTGGGTACTGTAAATTGCTTTCTAAATGAAGTACTTTTCTGAAACAACCCTTCTTGCTGAAATCTGTTCTGATGTTGAATCTCTGTGTTTGTGCACAGCCCTGCCTATAGGAGGGTCTAAGGCCTGCTCCTCGTGTGTGAGAACAGTGGACACCAACAGAGCTTGTGCCCAGTGCCATCGGTACATATGTCAGCATTGCAGCAAACTTTGCAGCTCTTGTAATGCTGTTGCTTGCTTCTTATGTTCAGTCGTAGAGTAAGTGTTTACAACTTGAGCTTCCTTTAGTTTTATTGAACATCGGAAAATATTTCGCAGTTGCTGTTTGTGACATTTTCATTTGCAATTCTTGTATGGTAACAACTTGCTGTATATACTCGAGTATAAGCCTAGTTTTTCAATCCCTTTTTTAGGCTGAAAAAGCTCCCCTCGGCTTATACTTGAGTCAAGGTTATTTATTATTTTACTCTGTTATTAGTATTTTTATTACATATATTATTTTATTCTATTATTCTATTTCTTATTTTGCTGTTATTATTATTATTATTATTATTATTATTATTACATTTACAGCATTTTACTCTATTATTATTTTATTACATTTATTATTTTACTCTATTATTACTATTTTTATTGAATTTTCATTATTTTACTCTATTGTTATTTTTATTACATTAATTTAATAATAAGTACATTTACATTGGAGGTGAGAATAATGGTTTGATCAGAGTTGGACAGTTTTATCTTAAATTACAGTTTTATGTAAATATTCAAAAACATTTAGCCTTTTGATGCCTCAATAAATGTAATTTTATTGGTATCTATTTTTATTTTGAAATTGACCCATAGTGGCTGCATATTTCACCCTCGGCTTATACTCGAGTCAATATGTTTTCTCAGTTTTTTGTGGTAAAATTAGGTGCTTCGGCTTGTATTCGGGTAGGCTTATACTCGAGTATATACAGTAATTTCTGGTTCAGTGCAGTGTATATAGTCTCCCCCTTCTCATTTATTACATATCTGCTGCTCTTCATAACAAATCAGAAAGATGCTTATACAGTGTCGTTGCGAAGCATGGAATTAAACTATTGAAACCATAATGATGTTGTCTGACCAGATAGCAAATGTCACTGTTTGAACAAAATGGTAAATTTAGAAGTTTCCTTAAATATCAAAATGATATTTTGACACATAAGTAAAGGTTTCCCTTGACAATAAGTCTAGTCATGTCCGACTCTGGGGAGTGGTGCTCATCTCCATTTCTAAGCCGAAGAGCCGGCATTGTCCATAGACACCTGGTCATGTGGCCAGCGTGACTGCATGGAGCACCGTTACCTTCCCACTGGAGCGGTACCTATTGATCTACTCGCATTTGCATGTTTTCGAACTGTTAGGTTGGCAGAAGCTGGGGATAACAGCAGGGGCTCACCCCACTTCCCGAATTCAAACTGCCGACGTTTTGGTCAGCAAGTTCAGCAGCTCAGTGGTTTAACCCGCTGTGCCATCAGGACACCCTGTCAGAGATCGTAACACTGAATTTGCAGCTTGAGACCAGTTCATATTGAACAGTTTTAGAAAGACATAGCAATGTCTAGCTTAGCATAGTATTGTTGTGCTTGCCGATGGGAATAGCTGATTGTTTTACAACTTTAAATGTTAAGTTTTATTGTAGCCTTTGTAGTTTTTCAGTAAGAAGAACATCTTTGATTGGTTGATATATTTAACAGGGAGAGTTGAGGATGCAGAGGCTTTTCCTCTTTTCACTATTAGAGCTTGGGCCTGAGCACTCTTCATTTTCAGTATCTCCACAGTGAACAAAACCTAACACAATTTTTTTAGTATCTTGGGGTGTGTATAGAAGGCTTTTAGGGGCACTGTTGGAGGGAGAGGTGATTATAGTGTGACCTCCAGACTCACAAAACCAGTGCCCATGGTTTCATCTATCTGCACCCAACAACAAATTATGCATATTATTATGTATTGTGCATATGATTGTGCCTGCACATTTGATTCCAGTGTCACAATTCACTAATGGAGTGGTTGATCAGCGAGTGGGCTTATTAACAAAAGACCCTCCTCATAAATGCACAGCAGAGTAACTTAGCAGCAGCAGCGTAACTCAGCACCAGTAGCCCAAAGTGAAAAAAAGAACAAAAACACACATAGGAGGCTTTTCTTTGTAGTAAAATCATATGCTTGTACTATTTACAAGAACTAGGTTTCCACAATGCAAATAAACAAATAGCTTTACGTGCAGCAGCCTTCACACTAGAGCCTTTTCACACGAGGCTTCTCTCACACTGAGATTTACCTCACACTCTTTAGGATGACACTAGCTTTGACCCACTAACTCTAACAGGCTTTGGCCTACTTACTCTCCTCTGGACGGTACTAGTGTTGGCCCACTAACTCTCAAAGGCTTCTGCCTACTAACTCTTTCAGTGCTTGACTCATACTTTTGTAATCAAAAATACCTAGTTAATATTTAATAATTTTGGCAGCCCTTCTATTTTTTATTACAAAAACTTCAATTTAAATCATACATACACATATAAATACAATTTGAAAAAGGATTTTACATTTCACTTTTTCAAATTTACCAGTCCTAAACCATTGTGTAATTGCTGTGTAACTACGTGAATATAGTATTAGGCTGTGTCTCCTGCATATCACTCATGCTATAACTCACTGCCGAACTACCATGGATTCTCCAGGGACAGACAACTTAAGTTGGGCCTCTATTTAATCCGTAAGGAAGATTTCTTTTCTTACAGTTCCATTTGTTTATACAACATGCTTTCTTGTGTGTATGGTAGTCACAAAAATGACCATGTTCTGTTCTTAAAATGTACCAAACATAACAATACGAGTTCATTTCTGCCTTCTTTTTTCTAGATCTGATAATGTTGGAGAACAAGTCCTTTGCAACGAGTGCTCCATGTTCAAGGACTAAAATGCTCACAACATTGTGGACAATGTCTCAAGGTCCTGCAAGGAATATTTTTTAAATATATGGACATATATCATATCTGACTTACTGGATTGCCTTTTTCTGAAATAATGTATATTTCTATAACTATAGCATAATAAAATAAATGTTTTATATTTTGTTAAGTCTTGCTTTTTGTGTGACCTGTTTAACAATAATCTTGCATCCCGTCTGAAGGGTGCATTTTATTAGTAAATAAATATGAAGGGAAGGTTCATACTGTTCCTGGAGAGTCAAATTTTGATTTAAATGCAAGCTGCAGGCTTCTGTTCATAGCTTGAATTTAAATGCAGATTGGATTGGGTTGCTGTGAGTTTTCCAGGCTATATGGCCATATTCCAGAAGCATTCTCTCCTGGCGTTTCACCCACATCTGTAGCAGGCATCCTCTAAGGTTGTGAGGTTGGTTGGAAACTAAGCAAGTGGGGTTTCTATATCTGTGGAATGTCCAGGGTGGGAGAAAGAACTCTTGTCTGTTTGAGACAAGTGTGAATGCTGTAATTGATCACCTTGATTAGCATTGAATAGCCTTGCAGCCTCAAGGCTTGGATGCTTCCTACCCGGGGAGAATCTTTTGTTGGTAGGTGTTAGCTGGCCCTGATTGTTTCTTGTCTGGAATTCCTCTGTTTTTGAGTGTTCTTTATTTATTGTCCTGATTTAGGAGTTATTTCAAATATTGGTAGGCAGATTTTATTCATTTTCATGGTTTCCTCCTTTCTGTTGAAATGGTCCACATGCTTGTGGATTTCAGAGGCTTCCCTGTGTAGTCTGACATGGTGATTGTGAGAGTGGTCCAGCATTTCTGTGTTCTCAAATATTATGCTGTGTCCAGGTTGGTTCATCAGGTTCTGTGCTATGGCTGATTTCTCTGCTTGAATTAGTCTGAAGTGCCTTTCGTGTTCCTTGATTCGTGTCAGGGCAATGCTGCATTTGGTGTTCCCTATGTAGACTTTTCCAGAGTGGTAGACTCCTGCAGAGGTGAAAGGATCCCTCTTGTCCTTTGCTGAATGTAGCATTTGTTGGATTTTCTTAGTAGATCTGTAGATCATTTGTAGGTTGTGTTTCTTCATCAGTTTCCCTATGCGGTCAGTGGTTCCCTTGATGTATGGCAAGAACACTTTCCCTCTGGGTGGATCTTTGTCTTTACTCTCGTGGCTTGTTCTTGGTCTTGCAGCTCTTCGGATGTCTGTGGTGGAGTCTCCATTGGTCTGTAGAGTCCAGTTTAGGTGGTCAGTTCACCTTGGATTGGATTAATTTGTGTGTTGCATGGAGTTTGCAGCCTCTAGAAGTTCTTGCTGTTTGTATTAAACATTTGGTTGCCTCGGTCTTTTAGTCATGTTCCGGGGTGACTTGTATATGTTTAGTCTGTTATATTGTTCTCTTTCAAAAACAGACCTTTATAAGTCATATTCTGATGGTTTCTTTTCCATGTGTTGGATAGGATAACTATTCTTAACAGATGGAAGCAGCAACCTGCTTTGAAAGATAAAGTGGTGGTGGTTCCAGGAAAGGAATGTATATGCATATCATTTCAAGTAACCTGTAGACTTATAGCAAATCCCATGGATGATATAGGGTTTTTTAAAGTCAAGGAACACTCAAGTGGTTTTGCCAGTTCTTCCTCTGAAATATACCCAACAGCACAGGATTTTGGTCAGTAGTCTCCCATCCAAGTACAGTAGAGTCTTGCTTATCCAACATTCTGTATTATCCAACAGGCCTTGGGTGCTTCTGGCTTGGAAGAATAAAAACAAGGCTCTTCCTCAGAGAATTGCAACGAGGCTTCCTTTCCTTTTCCTTTTCTCTTTTCCCTTTTTTCCTTTCCTTACTTCCTTCTCTGGCTACAGCTCTGGACTACGCTTTTCTTCTTGCTGTCTCTCTCCTTCCTGGGGCTTCGCATTCAGCCCAGGTGAGGCTTCGGGGAAGTAGCCTCTTTCGGATAAAGGGGGAACCCCATCAAGGTTGGCCGCTGCCCTGGCTGCTCTGCTGGCATTGCTCGCTGGGGCTCTTGACCTCGGCACCCATCCTTGCCTTGCCCCACTCCCTGCAGCCCCAACCCAGTTCTCTCTCTCTCTCTCTCTTTTCAGCAGTGGAAATGTTTACGGAAGGGAAAGAAAGAAAGAGAGAGAGAGAGAGGGTGCGGGCACTGAAGGCAGGAGGCAAGGGGGGGGGGTGCACGTGTGAGGAGCCTAGGAGTGATGTCAAGAGCACACACTCACTCACTCCTGCCTTTGCTCAGATTTAATAGGCTTTTCCTTATTTTTCACTTATCTAACATACTGGCGGCTCATTTATGTTGGATAAGTAAGACTCTACTAATTGACTAGCCTTGCTTATCTTCCAAGATGAACGGGATTTGGTGCCTGCAGGGTATTTGGGTGGACATTGCATATTAAACAGTATCTAGTAGAAGAGAGGCCTTCAAAGAGATAAAACCTAACTAGGTTGTTGTAGGTTTTTTTGGGCTATATGGCCATGTTCTAGAGGCATTCTCTTCTGACATTTCACCTGCATCTATGACAAGCATCCTCAGAGGATGCTTGCCATAGATGCAGGCGAAATGTCAGGAGAGAATGCCTCTAGAACATGGCCATATACCTGGAAAAAACCTACAACAACCCAGTGATTCCGGCCATGAAAGCCTTTGACAATACATAAAACCTAACTACTTCTAGACTACGCATTGGCAAACTTCAGCCCCCTAGGTTTTTTGGACTCCAACTCCCATGATTCCTAACAACTGAGGAGGAAAAAGATGGGCCTGAGGCTGATAGGAATTGTGGGAGCTGAAGCCCAAAACACCTAGAGGACCGAAGTTTGCCCATGCTTGATCTAGACTATGTTGTGGACTGTTAGTAATAGTTGGTTCATGAATATTTCCTACTTGGGGCATAATCCTCCATTTGAAACCAAGACAAGTTGCTTGATCTTGTCTGTTTTCCCAAACTACCAAAATATATCTCTGGTGAAAGTATTAGTTATAAAGCGAGCACGATTTTTAAAAAGACTCCTAGTGAGGACAATTCAGGGTTTTGCTGTGTCGGCTCCATATTCCAAAAAATAAAGGCGCATCAATATTGCAGAATTCATGCAACCTAATACCACTTTTAACTGCCATGGTTCAATTTTATGAAATTCTGTTTAGCTGAGGTTTTAGCCTCCTCACACCTCAGCAAACTACAAATTTCCATGGTTCCATAGTATGGAACCATAACAATTAAAACGGTGCTAAGCTGTGTTAATTGTACCGTGCAGATGCACCTGGTGTGAGTTTTGAAAGCTTTTTTTAATGTCAGAAATGACTTGAGATAACTGTAAGTTGCTTCTAATGTGAGAGAATTGGCCATCTGCAAGTACATTGCCCAGGGAGCCCGGTTGTGTTACCATCCTGTGGGAGGCTTCTCTCATGTTCCTGAATGGGAAGCTGGGACTGACAGATGGGAGCTCATCCCGTATTGTGGATTTGAACCGCCAACCTTCAGATCAGCAGTTCAGCCGGCACAAGGGTTTGACCCATTGCGCCACTGTGGCACCCAGTTTTGAAAGTTTATAATTGAAAAGCCCTTGCTGGTCCCATTGTGCAATATCTTTTCCAGCAGATGGCATTGCAGGGTCACACTGAAACTGCTTTCTTGGGGATGAATGTCCACATCTTCCTAAAATAGGTTACTGTGTCTGCAAATTATGTGTTTGTGTGAAGACAGAGTGTAGTAGAGCTTTAGAGATCTTCACTCTGTCCATCCATTGCATTGTAGGGTGCAGAAGCTTGCAACTTTCTTAGTACAATGTTCCAGGAAAGCTTGTTATGTATATTCAGATCTGAAATTCGCTCCAGAAATTGCCAGGGCAGAAACAAGCAAGCCTATATTAACTATATTTCACATTTATTAAGTGTCCGTGAAATGACAATATGAGACTGCTTCCTAACACAGAGATCCAGCTATTCTGGTTTTCTCTGGTTCGTACTACTGTTTATGTAGCTGGTTACAACCTTAATCTTTTTAATTGCATGATGAATCTTGAACTTTATGCCTGGGTTGACTGTGGGTGCCAGTGGGTAAAGTGATGTCAGACAATATATTATACCATATATACTCAAGTATAAGATGAGTTTTTCAGTCCTTTTTTTAGGGCTGAAAGAGCCCCTGCTCAGATTACACTCAAGTCAAAGTTACTTATTATTTTACTTTGTTATTATTTTATTACATTTATTATTTTACTCTATTTGTTATTATTAGTTATTTTACTTTATTATTGTTGTTATTACATTTACATTATTTTACTATTCTTTTTATTGAATTTATTCTTTTACTCTATTATTACATTTGTTATTTTACTCTATTATTTTTATTATTATTACATTTTTATTATTATTACAAAGTTACTTATTATTTCACTGTTGCTATTATTTTATTATTTTTATTATTTTACTCTATTTGTTATTATTAGTTATTTTACTTTATTACTGTTGTTGTTATTGCATTTACATTATTTTACTATTCTTTTTATTGCATTTATTATTTTACTCTATTATTTTATTATTATTATTATTATTATTATTATTATTATTACATTTACATTATTTTACTCTATTATTACATTTATTCTTTTTCTCTATTATTATTATTACATTTATTCTTTTACTCTTTATTATTATTATTACCACTATTACTATTATTACTGGTACATTTATTCTTTTACTCTATTGTCTTTCTTATTATTACATTTATTTTTTTCTTATTATTGCTATTATTACATTTATACTTTTATTTTTATTGTAAGGATATGTATGCACATTTACCTTGAAGGTTAAAATAATGGTATAATCAGAGTTGGACAGTCTTATCTTAAATTAGTTTGATGTAAATATTCAAAATATTTTAACCTAGTGATGCCTCAATTAATATAATTTCATTAGTATCTATTTTTATTTTGAAATTTACCAGTAGCTGCTGCATTTCTCACCCTCAGCTTATACTCGAATCAATATATTTTTCCCAGGGTTTTTTTGTGGTAAAATTAAGTGCCTTGGCTTATATTCGGGTCAGCTTATGCTCGAGTATATATGGTACAGAGTAAGACTCCCTAATGTTAAAATATACTTGAGTATATACAGTAATTCTGCA